CACACACACACACACACACACACACACACACACACACACACACACACACACCAGCTCTCACCTGCCACGGATGTATATAGGCATACACAGAAGTGTCTTTGTTCTGTAGCCAGTCTGTGTGTCGACATCCCTGTGAAAAGTATTACCAAAATATCGGTATATACAGAGGAAAATTCTTACGCAACCCGTCCCCAGCTAACAAACACAGTGTGTTGCTCAGGTGAAAAGAAAACAAAAATATCGGTATATGCAGAGGAAAAATTACAACCCGCCAGCTAACATGCACGGCCAGAAGATAGTGTATCGCTAAGACTAATTAACTCTGACTGTTTATTAGTGTGCGGCTTTTTCTCCGGATTCTACTATCGATACCGTGTTCATTAGCGGCTATTTCTCTCAGAGATATGTCTACAAACAACAGACACCGACGGTCACTCAGTTATCGTTGCCATGGAAACGAGAGGCGGCAAAGAAAGGATGCTCGGCAACGACGCAGATCCCCCTCTCTCTCTCGCTCCTGCTCTCGTTTCTCAAACTAACTCCTTCCCTTGTTTCTTTTTTATACTTTGGTACTTTTCTTCTCTTTCTCTCTCTCGCTCACTCTCCTTCTCTCCCGTCTCTTTCTTTATTACCTTTCTCTTTGTTGTCTCATTCTTTCTTTCTTTCTTTCTCATTCTCACCGCTTCTCTCACGCACTCACGCACGCACTCACGTACGCACGCACTCACGTACGCACGCACTCACGTACGCACGCACGCACTCACGCCCGCACGCACGCACCCCCGTACGCTCGCACGCAAACACATAATATACACACACAATGCACGAGAACACAACAGGACTTTGCATACCTGTTGAAGCGATCGTCTTGATAGGCGTCCTTGATATTAAGCGTATTACCGGTTGATGCCACGTACCCTGCCACTCCCTTATCCAAAGGGAATCTGCGCGAAGAACCAGGAAACCAGTTGTCATGACAACCGCGCACGATCGCTTATACGCAAAGCAAATAGAAAAAACCCAACTAGTCTCTACTATCTAATTACATGTCCATGTACGACTTCATGTAAACAGCATAACAATGACTAATTCGATCGAATCTGAAATATAAACGTATAAAACATGAATATTTCAAATGCCTTAAAAGCATTTATATGGGTTTAATGATTAGAAGCTATTTCCAAAAGCCATTTGTATACGCATGTAGTCGGTTAGTCTGGTGAGTCATGCAACATGAAAGTTCCAAATATTTCAGGAAAATAGAGTTCCGGTGCAAAGATCAGTTACATGAACAATACTATATTAACAAGCAACAATATACTAATAACAATTATAACGATTATAACCGACAATAAAAACAAGCACTGGCGCGGCTATCATAAAAAAGTGGCGCCACTAAAGATGGCCCAAAATCGGATGCCTTAAACGTTTGGCCGCGTCTTGCACTTACTCTTGCTTTGATTTAACACCCTCTTCCTTACCTTCCATGCGTTTTCAATCACCCACTCTCATCTGTACCTCACCTATTCTCTATAACTCATAGCACTTTCCTCTACCTCTCACTCCTCTTTTCTCTCTCCCGCCCTCCTCCGAATCTCATATCACTCCTCTCCTCTCCCGTTTTCCTCCTCATCTCGCTCTCCCTGTCCGTCTCCCCTCTCTCACTCTCTCTCTCTCTCTCTCTCTCTCTCTCTCTCTCTCTCTCTCTCTCTCTCTCTCTCTCGAGAGAGAGAGGCAGAAAGAGATAGGGGGAGACACAGAAAAGGCAGAGAGCAGTAGAGAGAGAGAGAGAAGAGAGAGAGAAAGTAAGAGCAGATACAGAGAGAGAGAGAGAGAGAGAGAGAGACGAGAGAGAGGCGAAGCGCGCGAAGAT